CAATAAGGAAATCATCGATATAAAAATCTCTAACATAAGTATAATAATAATTCATTTCCGGATGACTTTAAGCGCAATCTATTGCAACATCCAAGTTGTAAAAAACGAAGTTAATGCCTAAATAAGCATATATAATTAAATAAGTATATAAGTAAATAAGCAAATATAATTGATACATCTGCATCTTTGGTTGTCTGGTCGTTATAAAATTCATTAGAATCTTCTATCCTTCTCGGAGTCACTTGGATCTATATTTTTTCTATATCGAAAGGACAAATTTATAGTTTTTAAATCACATTAAAGTCGAAAATAAATTATCCTCGCTGGTGCATTCAATGATGAACCTTCAAATACAATCTTAATTTTTGCTATTGTGTTCATAGCTTTAATTACAGCATGATGTAGTATGTAAAATGACTAATTATCATCTCTCGATGTTCTGAACACAACAGAGCTGTCTCAAGATAGCTCTTCAATTAGATAATCTCAGTTGTATACTAAGAATGTGGGATAAGGACGAGAAAATATGCCAGTATAACTACACTACTAGATTAAAAACTGTTGGACGATTATTAAAAAACTGTTGAAAAATGGTAGCGAGTATTTGCGATATCATGATGGAAAGAATGGACACAATCGCTCAAAAAATGGCTTGTTTTTTTATCCCCCCTTCTCCCAGTTGTGAAAAATTCCCTCGAAGGTAACATCGCCAAAGTTGACTGAGTACAGAGGTGATTTAACATTTACATAAAAAAACGAACGAACATATACTAAATTATATTAGTCGTGTAAAGAACCTAAAAAAATGTGATTATAGATTGAGATTGACGTAACATCGACTTGAGCAACACCGCTGCATTAACCGTGAATAGCTTCATTAACGGATTAAATCATCTGCTCATTATCAGTTCCAATTTTCGACCAATGAGAAATTAATCGCTCAATGTCGTGTTTGACGAAACATCTTGTTGTACAAGTGAGAGAAAAGGCACGTACTGAGAAACCAGTAACTCAAACGCGACAGTGCAACGCGAAGCTTTCTCGAAACAACAAGGTGATCGCGCGATCCTAATCCGCCTAGATGCATTCCACGAAACAATTAATGGAGATCAAATTCGCCTTATTGAGGACGTGCAACTCCACCGTCATCATACTCGCGCACAGCACAGTCACCGCGATCAGATTACATCCGGATTACAATCATTACGACTGGAATACCCTCGCTCGCAAACACTAAGATACGATCAACCGGCTAGATACGAAAACTTCTTTCCCTCTTACGACGAAACGATTCTATCGATATTGCAAATCGCCTGGCAAATCACGACATACGTGACTGCCAGAAAAGATAATATAATAATTCACTCCGTTTAAGAAACGCCACACGTCCAGCCTCGAAGCGAATAGTCCAAATCATAACTCAAGCAACCGACAAATCAAAATTTCGGTCTTAAAGTAGACAAAGAGATGCAAATCGTCCATGATTTACACATTAGCGGGATACACATGGCATATATAAGAAGATGACCATATACTGTTTGAGGGAATAAAAGTATCCAAATAGTTGAAGATTTGAACATAGTTGAAGATCTGAAGTCCGTTTTGGAAGGATCTTCCCAAATTAATGCCTTGATCTCCTACAATCTTGGAGATTCGCAATTTGGATCCTTTGCTTGAGAAGGAGAAAATTACTGGGATCTTTGTGAACATCATTGATTCCAGTAATCTATAAGACTTAAGATTTAGTACATTAAGAAATATCTCTTTGGGCACTCAGAGAACGATCCCTGAATTGTCGGCTGCTTTGTTACCGCGCAACATCAAAAAGCTTCGTTTTAGAACGAGATTAACTTATATTAAAATATTACACAAAATTGTAAGGTGCTATAGATGTCACCATTTTGAACATCTAAGTAAAAAATGTAAGAAGATGAACTATATTCTTACTGTAACTAATCATTTCACCGATTGCGAAATAAATGTTGTTCGAGAGAAATACAGGTGATTGTAAGAAATAATGCATAACATAATATTTAAATAATAATAAAATAACATATTTTCATTTTTATATTTAAAATAAACAGGAAATAATAGGTACAGTGTTTATTTCATTTAAAAATAAATAAAGGATGTTTCTGTTTTGTTAATTGCATTTTTTGCAGATGATAGGGTTCTCCTTCATTTTCTGAGAATATATTTTTTACAAATCATACAAAATTTGCTTGTTTTATTATTTTTGCAAAATCTTATTCGTAAATGTGAAATATTAGATAGCTCCTTGATGTTACTTGTATGTTTTTCTTTTTTTTTTAGAGCAATTCCTGATAGTCTATGACAAGCTTTTCTATTAGTTGTAATAAAAATTCACCTCTTCGCAGTAGGTGGTGACCGCCCTCCTCTGCTTCTCGCTACCCACCAGTGCATCGATCACGGCTGCCGGGATCAGGTTCGCTCCGATTATGTTTTTCAGGGTGCGACGTTTTTCTTCGAAGCGTAGACACCTCCAGTGTGTGCTGGGCCGAGTCTAGCTCGGCCCCGTATTCCTTGCACTCCACCGATGTTTCGGCTCCTATTCAGTACAGATATAAGCTTATTAAGTACTCTAAGCAAAATTCTAGGGAAAATAATATACACTCACCTTTTCTGACACCTCAACGAAAATAATATCATCATTCCACAGCAATACAGTTTCAAGGAAGCCACCCAAATACCAAGAAACCTACTACCATAGGAGCTCCTTACATTTCACCCAAAATTAAAATAACCCAATCCGATCTAAACAACATTATCCCACCACCCAACACCGGTCACTTCGTCATCGGCGGAGATTTCAACACCAAACATCATATCTGGAATAATCTAAATAGAAACGCTAATGGTTCGGCCGTTAAAAATCACCTCGAACTCAGGGATTACCTAATAATACACAGCTCAACCTACACTCACAGCAATCTAACTGCACACCCACAAATGTCGACATGTTCCTATCCAATGTATCATACCTATATAAATGCCAAACTATCGATGACCTACCCTCCAATCACCTCCCCGTACAATTATCTCTATACGTGCATAAGACGGAAAGATCGACAATGTCAGAACGTACCGATTGGATCGCCTATGCAAAATTCTGCAACAAAATTAACATAAATCCAAATTTAACCAACAAATACGAGATTGGTTCTGAAATCCAAATCCTCACGCACCATATCCAGAAGGCATTCCAAATAATAATACCATGCAAGTAATACTTGCCCAGATAAAAACCTAAACCTTAGCACAGATCTGCTCCTTTCATAAATAACCAAAGACAGAAACAGAATGAAAAGAAAATACTAAAAGACTGGCACTCCGTTTTACAAACTCCATAGAAACATCCTGACAACTAACATAAAACTTGGCAGCAAAAATTAGCAAATATAAAGAACACCGATCCCACACTCTGGCAAACCTATAGAATCATTGGAGGCGCCAAAATCCCCGTTTTACATGACAAAACACACAATATCTTTCTTTACACTGACAAGGAAAAAACCGAAGGCCTCGCTAGCAATTTTGAACAGACTCATCTGAAAGCTCATAACACGCACTCTCCTTTTGAACAACAAATTCAACAAAAAGCAGCACACATCAGAGAAACCTCTCCTCCAAATCAAAACCTCATATTCTGCACACCAAGAATCATCAAAGAAATAATCAAGAAACTTCCCAATAAAGCTCCGGATCCCAACAAGATAATTCCTCCAAAACTAAAAAATTTACTGAACAAACCAATCTCCAACTCTATTATATCTATAAAGCCTGCATCAAACTTACTTACTTTTCAACCGCCTGAAAAATGGCCAAAATCATTCCGATACGCAAATAAGCAACATGTATCAATAGTTATAGGCCAATCAGTCTTGTTAACATTTTTGGAAAAATATTAGAAAAAATAATCTATCACCTCCTCAAACGATAATCACGTCATAATACGTCGATAATTTGGCTTTAGACACTCATGTAGACAACAACTTCAACGATTAACAGAACACATCATTATGGAACGCAATAAAAATAATTACACAACTCTTACTCCTGGACTTGCAGAAAGCATTTGACTCCGTTTGGCACACTGTTCTGATAACCAAACTATACGAATTAAACATTCCCATACAACTCTTATACATCATAATCAGTTACCTTCACGATAGAAATTTTTATGTCTTTCTAAATGGCACAACCTCAGTAACATCATACTCAAGATCATCTCTGCTGGAGTCTCACAGGGCTCCACACTTGGCTCCCTCCCTTTCATTATCTATATAAATGATCTCCCAAGTGCCCTCAATACACACAGCCACGTATATATGCAGATGACACCGCTATCTATGCCTCCTCATGAAGTGTGGCCATGTATACAAGGCTACATACAGAATCATATAGACCAAATACAAGAATACTTGACGAATTGGAAACTAACCCTCAATCCTAATAAAACTCAAGCCATCACCTTTACCAGGGAAAATATCAATCTAAATCAGGAAAAAATCAATCACAATCGCCGGCCAAAACATTACCTGGACCACCACATTTAAATACTTGCGAGTCATCTTAGACTCCAAAATCACATGAGTACTCACAATATACAAAAGATTTCAACTTATGCGGATGTATATCCCATACTCCACAGAATATATCTTCTCATCTCAAAAAACAGCAAACTCAAGACTAACATAAAACTCAATTTCTACAAAACCTGCATAAGACCCATTATCACTTACTGACATCAAATCTGGGCTTCCGCAGGAGATCCATGACAAGTCAACTATTGACTCTCCCTGCTAGCGGACACAGGTGCTTACGTTGCCATTGTTCAAAAGTCGGAGATCTAAACTCGCTGTCTAGTCGGCTATCGCTTTGCTTCTTATGACTATCCTAGGAAAATTCCAAAGGATAGAGTTCGCATTGAAATCCCCTAATACTGGGTATGAAAGAAAGCGAGACAGTCCCGTGCACCATCAAGAAATATTTTGAACATATCCGTGAACATAATCGGGGGGAAGAGCGTATATTTCAACGACAACAACGTCCAACGCCCAAGCAGTTGCCACATAGACACGTCCTCGCTTCAGTACCCACAGCGAGGATGTGGCAGCAGTTCTTCCTCGAACAATAGCAATAGCACGTCTCCAACGCAATCGGGAGAGTCAGGGACTTGATACAGTTCTGCCACGACGGTCAATTCAATGCTACACTCGGCCTTAGTCTGCGCGTGGTCTTGCGCTCTAGCCGAGTGATTCAAATTGCACTGAAGTAGGCGAGCCATCATTCCGGGTTAGAGCGATGTTTCCATGGCCTTTTCATGGCCGCATTTTTTTTCTAGTTGGGCTACAAGTTTTTCAGCAGTCCGATGTTTCATGGCTATATTTGGCAAGGTCTCTGCGTTGGAGTCGGAACAGGTGTCCTGGGTCCCTATTACCAACGTTGTTCTGCTGATCGCGATGTTATAGCAGCAGGCGGGGCTCTAGTTGGCCGGTTTGTAGACCTCTCCTATCTGAAGGCAGTAAACTTCTGCTCAAGCTTTACCTTCATGCTCTTCCTCTGTTCCTTCAGCAGCACTCTAATTAATTCCAGGAGACAAACATCGCTGCCTGCAGAGTCCAAGCAGAGACGGGCATATCTAGGCTTAAGAAGCCCGTCCTTCGAGGACACGAACTCTCAGACTCAAAGGTTTTTTTGATCTACAGAGGTCGAGTTTCCCGTCACCGTGGTTCTTTTTGCCGCCTCCATGAAGATCAGACGCGTTTTTTGCGCCATCAGACGGAATTCGCGCTTGAATTCGCCTTTAATGTTAATTGTAGGAAAAGGCTGGTTTTAAGCCTACGACCAAGGTCAATAAATACATATATACAAATAACATATATACATATACATATATACAAATAAATACATAAAAGTAAGATAAGGGATCCATCCCTGGGCAATACCGTTAGGCCCATAAAATAATTGCGAATATTACTTTATAGGATTGACCGACTCAACGGTACACCTAGACGTACTTTCCCAATCACGTGATTGGGAAGGACACAAAGACAATCGTCCATATAAGATCGACAGGACATACAAGTTCTCTCAATTTTTTCCTGTTTCTGAAGCCGATTTACACCATCTACATCCGTGCGCGAGACCCCCAAATTGGTGGAGACTACAGCCACCTTTCTGCTACTTTCATCATTTTGAAAACTTCGGCTCCCAAATCGACTGTTGATTTGAGCCTAATTTCTTCCATCAGCTTCTCCTCCCTGGTGAGAAGTTTGGACGAAGGTCAATTGAGTTTAGTATATACTCTTCCTCATCGTTGGAGTCCTCTCTCAACGAAGGAAGGACCGTGTGATTTTTTTTCCCGCAACGCTGGCTGGGTGGTCCATTTTCTTTCTTTTCCTGCTCATCATAGATCTAATTGATCTACAGGAAGATTACGAGTCATCTGACTCACCCTCCTGTGTTGTAGGAATAGCAGGCTTTTTAAATAGTGCAGTCACTTTTAAGACGAAGCAGGTCTGGTCACGTACTTATGGGTGTCTGATAACGATGGAGAAGGGATCCGCTCATCCTCTCCGTACCGGACTTGGGACCTCCGATACTCCTCGGACCAGTAGTTGTTTTTTTTTGAATCTTTTCTTCCATGTTTGGTTTATTTGTCGTCTCAGTCATATACTGCGCACTAGACCTGGGATCCATCCCACATGCAGTGGCCTCACAGTGAATAACGATGCAGCTTGGCCACCTCCGTTGTACCAGGGCTGAGGAATCCATTATCCTCGCACCAGTAGGTGTCTTCCTCGTAACAGTTTTTCATTTTACTAGGAGTGTTCCTTTAATCGCCTTTCACGACAGGCAGGGATTACGTTGGGCTTATTCTATCCTCATAGAAGGAATAATCATAGAAACTGACTTATCCCTAAAAATGTTATCAAAATACTGCTTACTAATGACAGACGTCATCATCCTGCCCGCATATAAAACACAGAAAGAAATTCAAACAAATCCATATTAAAAAATCATTCCGAACTACACAACTACCAATCCATAGCCCAAATGTGTTCCATCAACATCTTTCTTAGTAACGTCACCTTCCAGTTGAACTTACACTCCAAATGCATAAAATTCCAAACCGGAAAACAATACAATAACAGACTGGAGTACATATATACACATATGGAGTACATGTGTAAAATTCTACAGCAAGATTAAAATAAACCATAAGCTTCCCACCATGGCAACAATAGATATAGAAATCAAAAGCCTCTGCCAGCTAATCTATAACTCCTACCGCCACCCAATCGGTAACAACCCAAAACACAAACATTGATTCAATACTTCACAACCTCATCAAAAAGATTAATTAAATTATTTTTTTTCCTTGAGTTGTTTTTACTGCAGTCCCTGGGATAGCGTTTCCCTGTAACCTGTATTTAACATGTAAATTTTGATTGATTAGTGATAGAAAGGAGTTATGCATATGTATCATGTTGCTGGTAAATACAGGAAAAAAATTTCAAAAAACTTGCGATGCTTGTTTATGATCTTGATTATGAATAAAGTTGAATGATTATCTGTGTGTTATTGCATGTTTTGAAAGCCTGGTTTTGATTTTTGAATGTATGTTGCTGATAATTTGGATGATATGCTGTTGTGAGTGAGTTTTGAATGTATTCCTGAATGATTTGTATATTTGTGGTGGCATGTAGTTATTTAATAGAGGTATCATAGAATTTGTTGAGAATAATACGAAGAAATTTATTTTGCTAGATATTTTGCATATAGATGATGATGGGCCTGACACATGTTTTATAGAGGCTCAATTTTATTTTAATCTTTAATTTGCTGTTTCTTGATATGAGGGGATACTAAGTTGTTTCTTTTGTCTATTGCGGGAGCCCATGTAATTTTGGAGTCGAGGATGACTCTCAAGTATATAACAGTGAAGAACCAGGAGATATTTTGATTGATGCGATTGCATTGGTTTTAATGAAATATTTTTCTTCGTAAAAAAAGTGATGACTTGTGTCTTTTTGGGATTTACAGTTAACTTTCAATTTTTAAAATAATCTTGTAATGTATCTAGATGATTTTGAATGTATTTGGTGGCTTTTTCAGAGCTCCATGAGGAGATGTATATTGCAATCATCTGTA